TTTTTTTTTTTTTTTTTTGTACCAGGGATCAAACTCTGGTCCTTGTGCTTTCGCACGGGGCGGCAGAACCACTATGGACCTTGCGCTTTTGAGGCAGGCCAGGTGCAGCACCACTGAGCTAAATCCCCGCCCCACCCTTAAGTGGTTTTAACTGTGATTATTAAACGGCCTCCGGAGAAAATGTTCAGCACATCATTCGTGATACATAGGCTTAGAAGATGGTTTCTTAGCTATAACCGCGCATTTAGATTCACCTGGGGAGTACGCGGAAATGCCAGGGCCTGGATCCCAGCCTCAAACTTTGACAAATTCTGATTTGTTTTGAGATGGGATGCTAGCATCATTATATTTCAAAAACCCCACAGATGTTTTCAGTGAAGAGAGTGAGAACTATTAGTTCACATCAATGCAAAAGACAAAATTCTTAAATTTAAATTGTACTACATTTTTATCTTTAAGAATAAAACAGCCTGCGTGGTGGCGCACGCCTGTCATCACAGCACTAGGGAGGCTGAGGCAGGAGGGACTGCAGCCAGCTCAAGGCCAGCCTGGGTTACCTAGTGAGTTCAAGGCCAGCCTGGAAAACCTAGAGAGATCCTGTATCAAATAAAGAAAGAATAAAGCAAATGAAAATCAATAAATACATAATCCTATATAAATTAAGATGTCACACTGATTCTTTTAGCTCTGACTCAGAAAAAAATTACTTCAAGAATTTTGGAAGGCAGTGGGTCACCTTCTACTAGACTTGATTGTTCTTAATCTGTAAGTTGTATGTCTGTAAAGACAAAATGAGAAAATAAAACAAATTTTAAAAGCCTAGCCAGGAGTTGTGGTACATGCCTGTAATCTCAGCACTTGGGAGGCTGAGGTAGGATGATCACTCAAGCCCAGGAGTTCGAGACCAGTCTGGGCAGCATAGTGAGACCCCATCTCAAAAGTGAACAAATAATAACAACAAAACAAAGGCAAAACCACCACCATATTAATAAATAATACTGTATTACATAATTGATTAGGATGAGACCTATATATTCTCTGAGGTCACTTTTTATACTGCTGTTTTTAAATGTTTCAAATTCTGAGCTCTTTTTTGTACTAATATTATTATGTTATAAATAGTATCTCCTGTAGCTAAAAGGAATTGCTAGTGATAACATGATTGAGTTTTATACATAGTCACAAGGCCATAACTCATGTTTTTGCTAAAACTTTGTCCATTTTACCTCATATACCTATAAGGCTTACTTGATTTTTTTTGGTATGGAATTTGAACTCAGGACCTTGCACTTGCAAGGCAGGCATGGCTCCACTGAGCTACCTCCCCAGTGAGCTTAACTAATGTTTGTCGTCTATTCTGTATTTACATGGTACTATTTCTTTAACCTAGAGGATGGGCAACCATGCAGCCATTGGAAATATAATGGGTAAAGGGACTGCAACATCATAACAGATAGATAATATTGTGATAATTAACTTGTCAACTCTTTCTGAAGATTGCCCTTGAATGGATAGTGAAAAAATTAGTTCTTACTGGAATGAAACTATTTTTGTTGAGTCCTTTTGTTACCCAAAATTTTGAGAATGAGCAAGGAATGACAAATTGCTACTTACCAGGAAATAGGATCTAACTTTATTATCTAAAAATAGCCTTCCTTAATATGCCTCCCGGGAAGTTAAATGATTCAGAAAACAGCAAATGAAAGAACCATCAAAAGGCAGGAAATATTTTGTTCCATTTAAAACTCTAGACCTGTGAAATTAAAAAAATCTGGATCAATATACATTTTTAAAAATTATAGAATATCAGTTTCTTCCTGGCTCTACTAAATATAGGTGGAAAACATTTAAAGAAGGGCCAGGGATTTAGCTCAGTGGTGCCACCTCTTGCCTCGAAAGCGCAAGGTCTCGAGTTCGATCCCTGGTACCAAAAACCTAAACCAAACCAAAACAAAGCATTTAAAGAATATGTTTGAAAGTGTGCCACATTACCTAGTGGATAACATATAACTAACTGTACCTGGGTCCACTTATGGTGGCTTATTTGAGAAGAAAATAGCTTACCTACATCAGAAGTGGTTAAACAAATGAATTAGAATTTAGAGCTTACTTTTTACAGCTCTTGATAGAAACTAAGAGATTCACAAAAAATTTCCTATTAGACATCCTTACAGATCAATGTTTTGAGATTTCCATTACCATGGAGGCATATTTTTAGTCTATCTGATAAAAAAAAAAACAGAGAACACATGGTGGAAAAATTTTGTAGTTTAGTTCAGACGTAGCAAATAACATAGTCTTAAATAAATGCTATATGACAGTCTTGTCAAGGAAAGCTTTTCAATTTTTATTGCAGCCAAATAAACCCAGTAGTTCATATTCTAGATGAGCTGTAAGATCTGTATTTAACATTGGGGAAGGTGACTTTGAAATGAATTATTTTTAAGAATGCTGGGGATCACACCCAGGGCCTTGCACATGCTAGGTAGGTGCTCTACCACTGAGCTACTTTCCTGCCCTTTATTTTATTTTTTTGGTTTCTTGAGACAGGATCATCCTATGTTTTCCAGGCTGGCCTTGAACTCAGTATGTAGCCCAAACTGGTCTCCAACTCACAGCGATCCTCCTGGCTCAGACTCCCAAGTGCTGGGATTACAGGTGTGCGCCACCAGAACCCCAGCCCTTTAAGTGACTTTTAAGAACTTCATAGAGTTTTAGACTACTTTGATGCAACTTATCCAAGGTAACACCAATAAGCACAACTATCTGCAGAGATTAATAGGATTATCAGCTTCTTTTTGTTTTCTTCCTCAGTTTTAACATCACAAGTTCTTCAAAGGAGGAAGGAACTAGGAGAGGGTAAGGGGATGTAAAAATAATTAAGACATGTTATATACATGTTCCAACGCCCCACAATGAATGTATTCAATATGTACTGCAAGGATGTATTAATAAAAATTTAAAAATCTATGACATTTTATATATTAAAGTTTTGAAATCTTATAATACATTTTATCTTATAATCTTATATTTTAGGCATCATGATTTTTCAGTTTGTTGCCTTTTAATTTGAGTGGGTTTTTAATCTATGTATTCAGTTTTCAGAAGTTTTATATTTAACAAGATTGATGTTGTCATCCTTTTTTTCCTTTATGGTCTGATTTGTTCAGCTGGACATCTTTTGGGCATTTACAATTTCCAGGTTTCTAGCACTGCTCCGAGGTTGAGTGATTTGAGGGTGTATGACTTGGTCCCCGTCTTTGAAGAGACTACCTTTGTATTTTCCCCCATACGAATATCATTTTCTACTATTCTGAATCTGATTCCAGTTATGCATTTCTTTTTATTCAGTGTTCACCACTTGAAGAGTACTCAGGATAGAAAGAAAGAAAGAATGGATAGCCATAAAACTTACTCTTAAGGAGCTATGTTTAAAGGCCAGTAATAGAAGAAGAGCATAATAAAAGCCATGCTTAAGAAGAAAATTAAATTTGGTTTACATTTTGGGGTTAGATATAAATGAAAATGATCATTGTCTTTAAAAATAAATATAAAACAGCATGAAACAAATTATTTTAGCTTGTCTGTCATATGGGAGGAGTTATTCTTAGGACTTTTTAAAAAAATTTGTCATCATAGTTTTCTGTTGCTTAGCATAATATTTGCTGAAATATCCTAGATCAATAAATGTTTGACCAAATCTCCAATACAAGTAATTATGTTTGGCAAAGTTTTCCTTAGACTTTAAACATCAAAAGCAAACTTCTCACATAATTGCAATCTCAGTAATCATGCTTTAAAATACTAGTTATTCTTCACGCCTGTAATTCTAGCATACGGGAGGCTGAGGCAGGAGGATCGCCGTGAGTTCAAGACCAGCCTGGGCGACATAGTGAGTTCCAGGTCAGTCTCAACTACATAGTGAGACCCTGTCTCAAAAAACCAGAAAAATAAAAAATAAAAAATAAAAAATGTAAAATACTAGTTATTTTAATTAAAACTCTCCTAATTACAATATATAATGATTTTGTCATGTTGACATATAATCAGCTTTGCATGAGGTAACCACAGAAACCAATCTAGGGCTAACAACTTTTCTAGTTGGCAATTTAGCTAAAGTAACCATGCCCTTTAGAACAAAATGTGCATCTTAGATATACAGTTGCTTTGGTAAACTCATAAGTTATGGATTAAAAATATTTTCTGCAACATAATCTCTTAACATCAGTTTTTCCAGCCCCCATTCCATAAATGAGTCCTACTAGGAACTTGAAAAATACAGTTCACTTGTCACTTTTCAGAAACAGAGCTTTGTAAGAGTAAAGATTGTAGAAATAGCTCTTGGGAAGGAAGCCTTTTCCTAACAGCTTGCTACAAAGTTCAAATGGTGAATCAAAACAGAGTGTGAACTTACAGTCTTAAGCAGAGACAAAGATGTGAAAGCTCTTTAACTGGAGACAAAACATTCATAGTATTCTCATTTTTAGCAATATACCTTGTTCTTACTTCTAAACCACGAAGAACTGTTTCCCTGTAAAGTTTAATAGCATTTTTGATATTTTTCAAATAATTCTCAGGCCTCTGAACTAGACATTAAAAAATCTTAGCTACCATCTGCATTTCAGCAATATAGGCCTAAATGGAAAAGAAGCGATTTTAGCTATCTTTTGATCAGCGATTATCCAATTTATAAGACATATCCACCTTTTAGGCCATTTTAGGGGGAAAAGGGTGAGAAAGGAAACCACCCCTCCATATGGAATTGGACACTTATGGGTTAATGTGTTATTAGGCAACTACAGGTTAACTAGGTAACTATGCTCTTTGAGGAATGTATCTGAGTAACCATGACAACTTCTGTAATCTGTCACCAAAGGAGCATAAAGGACTCAGAAAGTCCTGCCCGAACTCTTTGCATCTCACCCTCATATCCGCTGTTCTGATTTGTGTAAATCTTGCTTGCTACGTTCCCAGGGAAACTCCTATGAAAGTAAGCCTCGTAGATGTAAAAAGAGGGATATAAAGAAAAACAAACTTCTGTTTGGGGCACTTGTTGAGCCATCAGCATTATTAAAGCTGCTTTTATTTTTTTTATTTTTTTATTTTTTTGTTTGTTTTGAGACAGTGTCTCACTATGTAGTTGAGACTGACTTGGAACTCACTATGTAGCCCAGGCTGGTCTTGAACTCACAGCAATCCTCCTGCCTCAGCCTCCTGAGTGCTGGGATTACAGGCATGCACCACCACGCCCCGCCTAAAGCTGCTTTTTGCTCCTAACTCCACATTTGAGTGCTCTGTCTGGGATTCCCCCACAGATTCGTGCTGCAAGGAAAAACTAGAGACTTAAGATTAAAACTCTAAAATGACTTGGATACTACTAGCCAGGCGTGGTGATGCATTCCTGAAATTCCAGCACTGATGGCTGAGGCAGGAGGATTGCCTGAGTTTGAGGCCACTGGGCTACACAGTGAGTTCAAGGCCAGCTTGGACTACATTAGCAAGACCTCTCTCAAAAAAATGTATTACGTATCAATCAGATATTTATTTTTATTTTTTGTACCAGGGATCAAACTCAGGACTTTGTGTTTTTGAGGCAGGCAGTGGCACCACTGAGCTAAATCCCCAGTCCCTCTATCAGATATTTACTAATTTCTTTTTCTTTTTTCTCTTCAACAAATAAGGAAGAGTAAGGGAAGAATGTCAGAGTTCTAAAGACAAAATAGAGAAACTAGTGTTTCTCTGCATACCTGAATTTGTATTTCATCCATTCATTTATACCTTCATTCAGTAAACATTTATTGAGTGCCTACTATATTTCAAGCACTGTTCTAGGAGCTTGAGAAACACCATGAACAAAATCACTGAACACTCTGAGCTCATAGAGATCACATTGCAATTGGGAAAGACAGCATTGACAAGTAAGCAAATAAACATATAACATTAGGTTGTGTAAGCAGGAAGAAAAATAAGGCAGAGAGTAGCAGAAGAAAGTACTATTTTATATCAGGTGGTCATGAGAGGACTGTCTGATGGGGTGGCATTTGAGTTGAGCCCAGAAGGAAGGGAGAGAGCCAAACAGATTTTTAGAGAAAGAACAGTTCAAGGCAGAGGGAACAGAACTTGGAAAAGTTCTCAGCCCAAGGCCTGGCACATGGTAAGTGTTCTATATCATATTCAGTATTATTAGTCACTTTCCAGTTTTTATCAGTGGAGGCATATATGTACTTTATACAGTTTGGATCACATCTACATAAGCCATTTTACAACCTGTCTTAAATATTATTATTATTATTATTGTTATTATTATTATTATTTTTTTTACCCAGAACCAGGGATTGAACTCAGAACTTGGCACTTGCCAGGCAGGCGCAATGCCACTGAGCTAAATTCCCAGCCCTTAAATATTATTCTAATGGTCTAAAGTATCTTAATATCCTTGAATACACTATCAGTTAATCACGATAGCTGGGCAAGATGACTACTTCAGGTTTTTACAGTTATAAATAATGCAACGAACAGCTTTGCAGATTAACCTCTACATTGCTAACATTTGCCCCAGAATAGCTCCTAAAATTGGAATTGCTGTACCAAAGATTATATATCCAGAAGTGGCTCTCTTTCTCCCAAAAGATGCTTCCATTCTCTTTTTGGATGTTGCTAGCTGCGGGAATTCACCCACTCGGTCGTTGCATAACTTCAGGTTAATCACCTGCTATCTGGCCAGCACAGTTACAGACCCTGGAGTTATAGTCATGCTTCACAGTGCTTACACTCAGTAGAGTCATTCAGAAGCAAGTAAAAAAGTACTTTTGCGAAGTGGTAAGTGCTATGAAAAAATAATGCAGGGTAAGGGGATGAGATTTGTTTTGTCCAGCGTGGGAGCTGTTAGCCACATGTACCTATTTAGCAGTGACTATTTGGCGAAGGCAAATTGGAATATGCTTTCAATGTGAAATATTTACCAGATTTCAAGAACTTAGTATGAAAACAAGACATAGAATATGTCTGTTGGTTATGTTCCAATAAAACTTTGGATATATTGGATCAAACAAAATGTATTATGAAAGCATTTTCGCTTGTTTCTATTTCACTTTTGAAAGCACGGCTACGAACACATTTGAAAGCACACGTGGCTCACATTTTATTTCTACGGCCTGCCTCTGGTTAGAGTCGCTTGCCGGAGGGCCTCTGAGTACGAGATACCTAGGAGGAGGGCAGGCTGACGAGAAGAGCGGTCCTGTGGAGAAGCTCTGGAAACAGTGCTGTCGGCAGAGGGGAGTTGAAACAGTAAATGCAAAGACTTGAAATTTGGACTGAGCTCAGCACGGTTGAAGAGTAGCTAGAAGGCTGATGTGGCTGGAATATAGTGGGCAGGGTTTCAAAATGAAAGTAGCTGGCAACGAGTCCGACATATTTCAAACACAAGGTGGGCCAGTGAGGTGGGAAATACCTTGCATGCTTGGACTAGATTCAGCGTCTGAGGACCTTTTGCTGCGACCCCTTAGCTCTTAACACAGCCGGGTCCGGAAGTTAGATGGGGCAAACTGCTGGCCACTCAGACTGATGACCACTAGTTGAATAAAACATTTTTAGGTATTCTCAAATCTAAACTATCTCCCTGAATGGCTACAATAGCTTTGCAAATTTTCTCTTGGCTTCCACTCTCCTCCCCATACTATTCCATTCTTTAGAGAAACACTGCACCCATTAACATTTTGTATATCCCCCCCCAGTAACTTTCCACTACCTTTAGATTAAAACCCCCAAATCCTCACATGGCTCATAAGGCTACGGACCCAGCCCCTCTGATTATCAACTCTGGCTTCTCCCTTCCTTCCTGCCTACTCTCTGGTCAATATAGGCTGGCATTCCCACATGGCAAGAGCTTGCTGGGCTGGGATTAAGAAGCAGCTGTGCTCTGCAGACTGGTGAGTGTCCTCTAGCTGCCCAATGAAGCTTTCTGTAGTAATTGAAATGTTCCGTGTCTGTGCTGTGCAGTCCGGAGGACAGACATATTTTACCACTAAGCATTTGAAATGGAGCTAGGAGTACCAGGGAGCTAGTTTTTTATTTGGTCATGTAATTTTTAATGGATTTAAATTTAGACAGCCGTGTGGGGCCAGTGGCTGCCGTGTCGGACAGGGAAGCCCCAGCCTACTCTGGTACCTGTTCTTCCCAGTTGTATCCCTGGCTGCCAATGGAGAGAACGGATTTGGCCCCTGGAACTGAATCATGAGCCCTGTATCTCATCATAGAAGTGCTTATGTTGGCTTTAAGATGGTATGCTTTCTTCACGCTGAAGTGATAACATTTTATTCCTTCCTGCTGTGAAGCTTTCCTTATAAAAATCTAGAATAGATGCTGATAATTGTCTAATTCCTTATTTTCACAGATGAGACTGATGGTTGTTTCATGTTTTTTTTTTTTGTTTTTTTTTTTTGCAGTGCTGAGGATCAAACCCAGGGCCTCGTGGGCATTCTAGGCAAGGTCTCTACCACTGTGCTGCATCTTCAGCCCTATTTTATGGCAATACAGGATTTATTATGTGAACATTTTAGAAATGGAAGAATGATGTCAAAGATTTATTGAACTTATTAGTGAGGGAATCAGCAAGATGATAAAACAAATGTATTTATAATCACAGAGATAAGACGCTACTGATAACAATGCTGCTTAGTGTCCTAAGTGACAATAAAACTATTTTTGGGGGGCTATTTTTTTCTAATGGACAAATGATTTCAAAGTATAGCGCTCATCTATGTGTTAATAGTTGACTATCCTGAGTCTAAGCCTCGAGAAACTGTCAATCATAGGCACATTTACAAGAGGATTGGTAAGCTAGGCTACCATTACATTAATTTCTTTAATATATTTCTTTAATTATGTCACCTTTTTCCTCAAGAAACTTTCATTAGAAAAGCTCAGTTCCTTCAGTGGGAGCTCAAGCTATTTTTCTGCTGTTTTTCCCGGAGGAACTGACAAACCATGTCTCAGCTGTGAGTGTTTGGCAAAAATTTTGTAAAAACTAAATGGAGTGAAACTGTCACTTTGAGGAAAACAGTTGACAGTATTTGCCACTTAAAAGACTCGTGTGAAATTTTGAATTTGGAAAACTTGCACCCACTGCCATTAAATTCAACATCTTAATTCTTTGGTTTTTTTTGGTACTGGGCTGGAACTCAGGACTTTGTGCTTGTGAGGCAGGCGTGGTGCCACTGAGCTAAATCCCTGGCCCGGCTTCTTAATTCTTAAAGCTTTTCCTGTTAAGGTAGTTCATAACATTAACAAGTATGATTTTTAATATATATTGAATATTAAAACTGGAAGATTTGGCTAATGCTGTGAACAAGTATATTGAAAATGACCAGTACAAAGCATCACAACATCATGCTCAGGAAGGAGACTCATTCCAAGTGCAAGAGAGACTAATGGATTTTAGTGTAAGAGTTTAAAAAGTTTACTGATGTGGTTTCTGATGCCACAATGCAGCTAAGTTCAAAAAAAAAAAAAAAAGAAAAAGAAAAACCAACGTTCCACTTGTTGAGTTTTGATATAGTATTAAGAATATGCACAGTTATTTCAAAGTCTATTAAAATACTCTTCCCTTTTGTGTCTATGTATCAGTGAACCCAGATCTTCTGCATGTACCTCAAAGAAAGCAATGTAGTTACAGGGAGGGTGTGGCATTTAAGTTTATCTAAGCCATGCAAATGTAGTGTGGAGCCACCAAGTCTTCTAGTCCCAATTCTGGGAGGATCTCAGGGGGATTTTGCTAGCAAACAAAGCAGAGCTGATGAGCCCGTTGCTAATTTCTCTAACCCCAGAGACATGTCTGTGGATGGAAGCATAGACGAGGACAAAGAGCTCCGTTCATCACTGCTCCCTGAGAACATGGCCCAAACCCTGCCCTCCCATGATGAGGATGGAGGAAGGTGGGTCCCATGCCACTTCCTGCTAGAAGGTTCTGTGTGTGTTAACATTGCTTCCTATAGGCACTCTGTAGGTGACGTCCTAGCTTGTGTCATCCCAACCAATAGAACGCTGACAGTCTAGACCACTGCCATGATGAGTCAGTGGGTCCAGGTCCATACTCTTACTGTGCCCCTATTTCTTGGCACAATGGGACGGAGGCGGCATTTCTTTCTTCCATAAAACTGAAGTTGGCTATTGATTTCAGATAGAAGTGAGAGATTCAGAAGCATCAGGTAGCTATGTGTCCAGACAACCCCGCCAGCTGTCGGACCTCAGACCAGGCTCATGTAGGTGGACAATTTGAAGACAATAATTTGCAAGATTGTGATACATTTGGGGCTCAAGCACCCAGTTTAGGGCTGTCCATCATTCACTGAGGAAAAGGAGCTTTTTCAGAATCCAGAAATAAGGAAGAGCTTTTTAGGATAACTTTTTCGTCACTGAGATACAATCCCTGACACTCACAATTTAAAGGAGGAATGGTTTTATTTAACTCATGGTTTCAGAGATTCAGTACATGGCAGGGTCTAAGGCAGAAACCTCATGGCTGAAGGGTGCAGCAGAGCAAATCTGCTTAACTCTTCCAGAAAGCAGAGCAGGAGAACATCAAGGGATGCCCAGCCACCTGCTTGAGGGTATAGCAGAGGATGAAAGACTAATAGACAATCAAAGAGCAAATAGTTTTAGTAGGGGAATGGGACTCGATCTTAGCTCTTCCTGGCTAAGACTAGAGGTCCAGATTGTTAATATTTATTGATTACACAGAATAGCAGGAGGTGTGAAGGCAGATATAAGGGAGAGTGGGCCTAAGGTACTAATGAACCAGGCCTGTAAAAGGGAGGAAAAGACATTCTTGTAAAGGACAGGTTATAGTTACCAAGCCACTTGTGTTATCTTTAGCTAGTGTTTTATCTGGGACAGCAGCTGCCCAAGACTGAAATCCTCCACTGAAGCATAATCCTGCCATTAGAGACACCACAGTATCATCGATCATTGGGATCCCAACTGTGAGCATTGGCACAGGGAGTTCTATTTCTGCACGCCAGCCAAGGGCTCATCTGGCAAGTCACATAGGCCTTGGATCGACTCACAATTTGATCAGTAGCCAATTTATAAGCCAATACAATGATATTTTACAGCCTGCTCAGTGAGATTTCAATCCAGTCTTCTGCAGGAGAACAGTACTGGAAAAGAATGAGCAAGGGACCATAAACATGTATAGTACCCAAGGTCCCCATCCTTGACCCATCCAGACACACCCATAAGCAGGCTTTTCCAATCCAACGAAGCTGACAAATCAAGATTAGTGGCAACAATCCACCCTCTGTCAACTTCACACCCAAACATATCGCCTTAAATAAATATCTCCTTCAAATAAAGACAGTAGCTAGTTCATATTCTGCCTAACATAATACATCTATCCAGAATACAATCAGAAGTGCAATAATCGCTTTGCTTTCTGATCTTCTAGGCTTTTCTTTTCTTTCTTTTTTTTTTTTTAAATAAAAAGAGATAATTTATTTGAAGATGGGGAAGGAGGAGGAAAAGAGAGATGACAGACAGCTACTCTGGATGAGCAGGGAGAATTCGAAAGCGAATTGCTCCTAGGCTTTTCTTAATCTGATGACATTGGCAAACTGGGATTATGGGCACAGATGTCCAGCGATTGATTTCACCTTTTTCTCTTACATGAGTACATGGTTCTCAAAAGCTAATTTTGGCTAAAGACCAACGCAGTATGGTGTGTTGTGAATGAAAAGGTTATAATTATAGATTATGTAGGTCCTTTTTAGTGATGGCAGCTCCAAGTATAAAAAGAGCTCTGGTACAGAATAATTCATAATCTATTGTGTACCACCCCTGGCAGTATACATTTCTTCTCGGGATTTTAGATTCTTCAATTTCATGAATTGTTGGTCTCAGCCAGCTCCTGATTCAAGTTTATATCCCTGTTTCAAAAGTCCTTTACTTTCAATTTCACATCTAACCTTTAGGTTACTGGTTTAATTCAAACATCAGAATAAGAATCTGCTGGGAATTTGAGATACTTCTGAAGTGTTCTAGTATGGTGCTAGGTCCCTCTGCAAAAAACAAAATAAAACAAACCAACCAACAAACAAAAAACCCCAATTCTTTGGGAATATTACAGGATGGGTGCAAAGAAGCTAGGCAGAAACGAGTCTAGGTCTTGTCTGTTCTGCTGCCTTTTAATGAGCTAGTTGCACACACCTAGAAAGTGGCCATGCGAGCACATAGTTCAGACTCAAGCAATCACTTATTCCACTTTTCCTCTGTCAGATCCCAGGACATGCACCAGTGTATGGGAAGTACTGGGAATAGAGGAATGCTTTGAACCACACCAGGGGAATGCAATCAGTCAAACCTAGAATGTGAGAAACTCTACCAAGCAAATAATCAGTTTCTTCAACAAGGAAAATATCAAAAGACAGAAAGAAGTAAGGGAAAATTTTAGATTAAGATACTTGAAACATATCAATCAATCAGTATGTGAAACTTTGATTGGATCTTGCTTCAAAACAATAGCATATGCCTGTAATTCCAGCACTTGCGATGCTGCGGTAGGAAGATTGTCATGAGTTTGAAGCCAGCTGCCACCCTGGGCTACATAGTGAGTTCAAGGCCAGTCAGAACTACGTAGTGAAACTCTGTCTCAAAACAAAACAAACAAACAAAAACACACAAAACAACACAACAAAACCCCCAAATAAAAATAAGAAATAGTAACAAAATAAAACACAAAAAAATCTATGAGGCAATTAGTGATATCTGATCACAGACTGGTTTATGAACTATTTTTAGTTTTTCAAGTGTGATAATAGATGGTAATGTGATAGTAAATTTAATTGTACCTATCTTCAAGAGATATTGTGAAAATTCACAAATGAACATATATCTATATTTTGTTTGTTTGTTTGTTGTTTTGAGACAGGGTCTCAATAAGTAGTTGAGACTTATCTGGAACTCACTATGTAGCCCAGGCTGGTCTCAAACTCACAGCTATCCTCCTGCCTCAGCCTTCCGGGCTCTGGGATTACAGGTGTGCACCACCATACCTGGCTGAATTAATATTGTATTGACTAGCTTCAAAATAAAATAGGCTGGGAGAGGAAAGTAGGTAGATATATAGATATAAGATTAGTCAAGAGTTGTCATTTTTGTTGGGGATTTGGCTCAGTGGTTCCACTGACTGCTTTGCAAGCTCAAGGGCTGGAGCTTGATCCCCAGAACCAAAAAAAGGGGGTAGGGATTTGGCTCAGTGGTTCTGGTGCCTGCCTCGAAAGCGTAAGGTTCCAACTTCAATCCCTGGTACCACACACACACACACACACACACACACACACACACACACACACAGTTGTCATTGTTAAAACTGGGTGGTGTGTGTGTGTGTGATCTTTTATAAATCCCTTTGGACCCCTCTCTAATAAGACTTTAAGCTGTTTATGAACTGTGAATGGCACAACTAAGATTTTTTTTCATGTTTTTTCCCTTTCTCCTTTGGCAATACTTCAAATTTTATGCCATCTTTTTGTAGCCATTACCACTATAAGTTTTTACAGGAGTAATTATTTATATACCTCATTACTCACGCGCCCATCTACACACTTCAGTTTAAATTATTATGCTTTGTGAGGTCATTTATTGAGCGATTTGGAATTCTATGGTGCCTTTTTTGCTATTTTACTTGTCGAACCTCTTGCAGTCTCCGAGTTC